ACACTTATGACTAGACTCAATTCAAATATTTATTACAGCCATAAGGCCAGTATAATACAACTTTTGTTTTTAAGCCAGGCATTTAGATAATTAAAACATGGTAGTATGCTCTATTCTTTTTAAGTACTTATTTTCAGGCTGACCTATTCCTAATTCTCAACTCTTGAGGATGTATCCCCTTTCCCAGAAATGTCTCATTGATTTGTTAAAAGCTCATGTGAAATGATACCATGCAGCATTTATTTTTGTAATTTGTATCACCTTAGCAACTTATTTCTCTTGTTCTAGGAAAGGCTGTACAGGCAAGAAGTTCATGGCTGCTAGGAATAGGAGGATCAGTATGTTAGACTACCTGTTCTTGCTGTTACCTAAAAGAGTAGCAATATTACTCTTGCAATTTAATCAAATTGCTCTTCTGTTGCAGGCTAAACATGGAATTCTTAGTACATGGAAATGCTTTTCAATACATGCCAATATCTTCTAGAACAGTGGTGGCGAACCTATGGCACACGTGCCAGAGGCAGCACTCGGAGCCCTTTCTGTGGGCACGCGCGCCATGCCCCGGAGATGGCAACCGTCCTCTTCAACCAGCCGCCCGCTAACTCGCCGAGGTCCCACGTGGTCGGATGCATCCCAGCACCCATGCGCTTGCTGGCCTCTGTGTGCGGGGGCCGATGGTGTCAGGCAGGAGCCACCCTGGCCCCTGCCTCGCCTTGCCCTGCGACATGGCACCCCCGCCCTGCCTCACCCCACAGCACTAGCCTCCTGCCCACCACCCCACCCGCCAGAGACCCTTGGATCTCCCCCAACCCTGCCTGGCCCTCACAGGTGTCCCTCCCCATGAGCAACATCGGGCTGGCCACGCCCACCCATTTGCCACACCCACTGTAGCCACGCCCACCGAGTGGACCACGCCCTCCCGGCACCCGGCAATACATAAGTGGGTTTTGGGTTGAAGTTTGGGCACTCGGTCTCTAAAAGGTTCGCCATCACTGTTCTAGAAAGTCCTTCCAGGCACTCTGGGGATCTTCATAACAGGATTCTTAATGGCCAACTTGGCCATTATTCATCATGGCCTTCATTATTAGGTATGAAAATCAAATTCCACAAACCAAATGACAGCCTAACCAGGAATTGCAATATTTGGGTTTCCCAAAATAATATATTCCTCCTGTTTCCTTTGAAATTAACAGAATAACAGAGTTCAAAGGAACTTTGGAGGTCTTCTAATTCAGCCCTCTGCACTAGCAGGAGATCCTATACCATTCTGGACAAATGGCTGTTCAATCTCTTCTTAAAAATCTCACCCACAACTTCTGAAAGCAAGCCATTCCACTTGTTAATTGTTCTCACTGTCAGGAATTCTCCTTAGTTCTAGACTGGTTCTCTCCTTGCTTAGTTTCCATCCATTGCTTCTTGTTCTACCTTGTGATGCTTTGGTAAATAGGTTGACTCCCTTCTTCTTTGTGGCAGCCCCTCAAATACTGGAATACTATCATGTCATCCGTAGTCCTTCTTTTTACTAGACTAGACATACCCAATTCCTGCAACCATTCTTCATATGTTTTAGCCTCTTCTCTGTACTCCTTCTAGAGCATGGGTGTCAAACTCACAGTGTCACGTGAGGTGTCGTGACGTATCACTTTTTTCGCATTGCTGGAGCTGGGGTGGGTGCAGCCTCCGCATGATGCAACCAGGCTGCGGGCCAGCAGTTTGACAACCCATTCTAGAGTCTCAACATATTTTTTATATTGTGGTGACCAAAACTGGATGCAGTATTCCAAGTATGGTCTTACCAAGGCATTATAAAGTGGTACCAATACTTCACATGATCTTGATTCTATCCCTCTGTTAATGTACTCTAGGGTTGCATTGGCTTTTTTTGGTGGTTGCAGTACACTACTGGCTCATACTTAAGTAATTGTTCACTAGGACTCCAAAATCCTCTGTTACTGCTATTGAGCCAGGTTCCACCTATTCTAAACCTGAAAATTTTTTTTGCCTAAGTGTAAAATTTTACTTTTCTCTACATTGAATTTCATTTGTTAGATATGGCCAAGTGTTCAAGTCTGTCAAGATCCTTCTGGATCTTGAGCCTATCTTCTGGGATTGTTGGCTGTTTCCTGCCAGCTTGGTGTTGTCTGCAAATTTGATGAGTTCCCATTCTATTCCCTCATCTAAATCATTTATAAAGATATTGAAGAGTACTGGGCCTAAAACAGAACCTTGGGGAACCCCAGGGCTTACTTCCCTCCATTTAGATGTAGTTCCAATAAGGACTATACGTTGAGTGTCATTTGTCAGCCAGTTACAATTCCACTTGGTGGTGATGCTCTCTGTCCCACATTTTTTTTAACTTACCAAGAAGTAGGTTGTGGTTTACTTTGTCAATGCCTTACTGAAATCCAAATATACTATGTCCACAGTATTTTGCTGGTCCACTAATTTAGTCACTTTGTCAAAGAATAAAATAAGATTTTTTTGGCATGATCTGTTTTTGACAAACTCATGTCGGCTTCTGGTTATAACTTTGTTTGCTTCTAGGTGTTCGCAGATCTATTGCTTGATTATCTTTTCCAGGATCTTCCCAGGTATTGATGTCAGGCTGATTGATCTATAGTTTCCTGGATCATTTTTCCCCCTTTTCTTTGAAGATAGGAACCACATCAGCTCTTTTCCAGTCCTCTGGTAGTTCCCCAGTGCTCTAGGATCTTTGAAAGATATGGTTCACGTCTGCCAGCTCCTTCAGAACTCTGGGATGTAATCCATCTGATCCTGGTGATTTGAACTTGTCTAGGGTGGACAGGTGTTCTCTTACCACATTTTTGCCTATTTTAATTTCTATTCCTATTCCTAGTCTATGTTTTACAGTTCTGTTTTTGGTAGGCTGGGCCTTTTCTTTTTGCATGAAGACAGATAAAAAGAATGAATTAAGCAAGCTCTGCTTTTTTTCCTGCTGCCCATCACTTCCTTGCCATCTTCTCCCATTCATGGATAGATTGCTTCCTTGACTTTTTCTGGCATTTTACATGTTGAAAGAAGTTTTTTTTAAAATTTTGACATTTGTTGCAAGTCTTATTTCATTCTGAGCCTTACCTTTCCTGTTATTGTCAGAACCCATATTCTAAAGGTCCTTTCCCTTTTCTTTTCCTTTCTAAACCCGAACCGCATTCTCTTCTCTCCCTGGGTTCTGCCATACTCTTGGAGGGGAAGGGGGAAGCGCTTGAGGGTTATTGCCTTGTTTTCCTCTATCGCTATAATGTAACACTTTGCTGTTTCTGCATTTCTTCCTCTGTGAACCTTCTTCCCCCTGTTGTCAGATAGTAAAGGGGGGAGGAGAATGGAAGATACCTCTGGCAACTGTTTTATCTCCGCATTCGCAACGGAAGGTGCGAAGTGCCGCCTAAACATCGCTGCAGCCAGGAGACGGCCTGATGTTATCTCCTTTTTCCCACAACGAACTTAACAACTTGGGATTGGCCTGTTTGAACTGACCGGATGAACTATGGGGTGGGGTTATGCTTGGGATACTTTTTACCTATCAATCTGGCGGGAAACCCTCAGATCCTGTCTATTATGCCTGCTATCAGCTTCTCCTAATAAAAGCTCCTTTTGGAAGAAACTGTTTCCAAGAGTTCTACTTTCTTAGGATGAGATATTGAAGTAGACACTGACAGTTATGTTATATCCATTATATTATATCCATTATTATGTTATATCCATAATGTTATATGTTATAATATGTTATATCCATTATATTATATCCATTATTATGTTTATAACAAATTATGTTATATCCATTCATTCATAATATAATTTGGAAGAACATTTTCAATTGTTTGTATATCCAAAAAAGGATTAAAAGGCTAAAGAAAAAGGTTGATTAGAAGTTTGATTTTGGAAAATTGATTTTGGATTAAAGATCCAGATAGATTTGAAATAAGGTTTTGAAATTAATTATAAGAATTCTTCCCATGGGGAAAGCTGTTGTTCTGAAATCCTTTTAAAAAGCATGATAACATGGAACTTAGAGGGAACAAGAAGAAACTAATGATTAGAATTAAAGGAGAAGATCACTTAACATTCTTAATACAGAACGGAGTAAAATATTTTAACATTAGACATATTGAAGGATATTTTCAAACAAAGGACCCAGAAGTTAAATTTAAGAGTGTCCCTTTATAGATAATCTGTAGATAAATAATCACCGTCTCTTAAAATACAACAAATGATAAAATACGTTATGGAAGATGAACATGTATTACTGGCCAAGAAAAATATATATCTGAAAATGGATTTTAAAATGATAGAGTGATATGGAAAAAGATGCGACACTGGACATATAAATTGGCTGATGTCTTAACAACTAAAAGGAATATACAGTACAAATAACAGTAAAGAGAGTGACCTGAGTAATTTTTCTACATTGAATTTACAAAAGAGGCTGGCTAAAGCTTTGAAGAATTTTGTGAGAATGGATAATGAAAAAATGAAAATAAATCAAGTTTTAAGGGACCAAAGATCAAAACGGAAGGAATATAAAGTTTAATTTGAACAAGTTTAAAATACATATGTTCTTATCTCTGCTTAATGGACTTTTGCTGATCAGAATTAAATGAGGAGTTTTTAAGAATTTGTTTATAGATAAGAGATGAGACATGGGAAGAAGAGATCATTTGTTGTATTTTAAGAAAATGTGATACTAAAATTCTTTATTCTTATGAAGAAGGGAAAACTAATTTCTTTATATATTTATTTTCTTTTTATTTACTATATTATTTTTTTCACTTTTTTCTGCACCTTCCATTTTCTTTTTAAACTTTTCTTTTTAAATTTTTATTTTCTCTCATAAGTGTAGTTTTTAATAAAATTACAATTTAAAAAAAGAAAAGGCTTAAGAGCTGAAAGAGTAGTATTATGAGACATCTGAATCTTGAAGGCTGTTCAAAGTCATCCCAAATAAATAAATGAATTGAATGAATGAATGAATGAATGAATGAATGAATGAATGACACTTCAGAAATTTGAATGCCTTCCTTACAAAGGGACTATGCTAATCTTCTCTGTATCGTTTCAATTTTAGTATATACTCTGCCAATGCAAGCGGAAACCTGTTCCTGAAGATCTTTTTAACACTGACAATGCACAATTCTGCATGACAGCTTGCGGCATCCATCAACCAAAGGTTATTCTATTCTATGCTTCAGTGAAGTACATAATACAATTGCTAATCATAGCAGAGCAGTTCTTCTGACATAGCATGAATCAGTGTGGGGGAGGCTGTCCCTTTAACTGCAAGATGCAAGTACAAAAAATGGATTGGCAGGGTGTCTGTTATGCTGATGTTCTCACAGGTCTTTTATGCTCCCCAGTTTTCCCCATCTCCAACTCTATCTTCCTCTTCCATAGCCTACTGCTACTTTTTACTACATCTTTCCAATATTCTCTATATGCTTGATGCCTGTGTCTGATTTCCCGTTCTCTCAATATTATGCCCCACTTGCTGTTTTCCACCTCCTCTTCTCTACCATTATTATATGTCAACCAATCCCCAACCCCTTGTTCCACATATAATCTCTTTTTTGCCTCCCATTTCTTCTGCTGAAGGGTCTTATAAAGAATTGTGGTTTTTTTTTCCTCATTTAGAACTTCTGCTCTACAGTGACCTGGATTTATTAGACCTGTCTAAAGAGTACGATTTAGATTTGTAGCTTTTCAATTTATTTGGCAACTATTTAGACAGACTTTCTCCATCCTTTGAAGTGGGTAATAGCTTTTGATTATCTTTGGTTCCATTGGGAGAGTTTAAAGAAATCTCCCAAATTGTTTTGATCCAGTCTAGAAGACATTGGTGAGTAAAAACTGAAAATTAGCAAAAAAACTCAAATGTTTCTGACTGCTGTTACATTAGTAACCATGGCTCTTGCTTAAAACTGAGTTGAGAACATGAATCAACTAGCAAAGAAGTATGAGAAAGTTGTGATCCTTATGAGATTTGTTTACCTCTTTTTGCTCTTGTAAAACCTGCAGAGAAAAGAACACAACTAGGTAGTTTGGCTTGATTTGTCATTCTTATAGGCATGATGACTACAGATCCAAAGAACTGCAGGAGTCTCTCTGATGCCACTGTTAGAAAATGAAAATGTTTTTAATTTGTTAGTTTGTTTATTGTTTATCTAAATTTATGTAACTGCCCATCTCACAGAAGTGACTCTGGGTAGTGCATAATTGTTATTGTAAAAAGGGGGGAAAGAGAGGGAGGCAGGCAAGCAGGCAGGCAGGCAGACAGGGTCAATATTTCAGGAGGTTCTAATGCAAAAATTAATCCAGTCTAAATAGCCTTCTGCAACTTCCAGGTTCTTGGCCCAGAAAAATTTGCAATCTCTTATTTTAGAACTCTTTCAATGACTTGATCTGTAAGGAAGTCATGGATAACTATTAGCACGACTGCTAAAAGATTTAGAATACTGTAATCATGGGACTGCAGTCAAAGAGAAAAAATAATTTTCCATTGTGTAGAATATCATTACTTTCTTCTTTTCTTTTTAATTTACTTTTATTTATAACTTCAATTTATATGGCAACCTATCTTAAATTCACGACTCTGAGCAGCTTACAGCAGTTAGAAACACCAACGTTTGGTCTTTGTAATTGCCACTCATTACAGCCTAATACCTATTTGAATTGTTCAGTTCAGCAATTCTAGCTTATATGCCTCTTCATACAATAATGTTTGGCTTCATTGCCATCATTAACCAAAGTCATTTCTCTAAGTCTTGAAATGAGATCCTTGTGTCTATATAGCAGTAAATCATTTAATTTACATGTGAAATTCCTTGTATGCACAATCTCTGAAAAGAAAACCCATTGGGTAATAGGAGCTCAAGGTAGGAGAAGAGTGTAAGAATGTAAGAGTCTCTCTTTCTGTCCTTTAATATTCTCCTGAAAACTATGTACAGCATGGTAATTGCTCCTGAATATCAGTCTACGGGACAATTAGAAGCAAGAAAAGGCCAAAGCATTCACATTCATGTGGTACAATCAGGAATGAGTGTAACATTTGATTCTTTGCACTTGTGCAACAATACACTTTTTGAGACATGCATAATCCATTATAGAAACTATAGAGCTGTAGACACCACAATATAAATCACTATTATTCATGCTTTAATTAACTTTCTCTTACACTGACCTGCTATTTTTAAATAACCCTTTTCTTCAAAAATGCTGTAATTACCGTCTCTCAAAATAGATGGTGCTCAATCCTACTTATATAACTCTTCATATTTTAAAACAATCCATCTAATGTTAAGGTCTATAGTAGAAGGTCTGAGTAGTCAGGATCATCATCTTCTGAAGGTCAGTAAAATGTTTTACCATATAAACAACCAAATACTGAAGCAATAGTAGGATTTCTTCTGCTCTTATCTGCAACTGCATCCAAAGGAAGACCCTCATGGAATAAAGCGGAGAGTAGAAGGAGATTTTTAGGGGCACTGAAGTCATAAGAGGAAAGAGGAATCAGTAAAAGTCAGCTTTTCTACATTGGGAAACTCCTCGCAAGCACTTACAAAGTCACCAGATCCAGAATATTGGCAACATTATTGTGCAGTTGCTTATTTAGGTTGTTGCTCTGTTTTGTTTCTGTTACCAGTAGTCTTACTATCTGCTTGCTTATTCTCCTACAAACATTCCAGCCCTCTCCATATTAAGGGGTATAAATATGCCAGTGGAATTGCCATCACTATCACCATACTTTCTCCCCCTTCCTATTTACATATTGACCAAGTAGACTATATGTTAAGGAAAATAAACCCCTTATTTCTCAATATCCCCCCTTTTTTTTCTATGATCACTTTTTGTCTCAATTCCACTTTTGCTGCAACCTCCAACAAATTGTCACTACTGTATTACTGGGGCTATGGGGACTATGGTATTGTGTTCTCAGAACAAAGAATATGTCAGAACTGCCACACCACAGTCACCTTATACCTATGTTTCGGTGCCAATGTGCCATGAGCTATGGGGGGAGGAGGGGAGGGAAGCCAAAGCGGGGGGGAGGAAGATCCCACAGTTCACTGTACCAGCTGGAAACTCAAATTCAAGGACAACTGCCTGAGAAGGAATATAGCTGCATACCAAGGATGACCATTACAACAACATCTAGTTTGAATATGATTGGACAATCGAGGGCTAATGGGGAGGAAAAGGTCTGGGAAAGGGAATTATGCTTGGGAATTTGGCGCACGAACCTTAGATCTGGCTTTGCCTTACTATACTACACTTGACCTTTAGTAAAGACTATCTTTCTCATAAAATGAAGTCATAGGTTGTTCTTGCGTAGGGTTCAAGTCGAGGCAAGTGTGACAGGGCTGGAAACTCACAATACAATATATGAATATGAAACTATCATGTGCATACATTATCAGTGTATGAGGCATATGAATGAGCATATTGCTGATAATGAACAGATAAGGCGCTACCAACCAAACATATTGCAAATCTCTGCAGGTTTCTACTTCATTATAATTGTTTACTTATTACATAATGTGTATTATAAGATAAAATGCAGGAATTGTTCATAGAAATTCCTGCATAAATAGGTTGTGTAAATATGATATTAAGAATCAAAACTGAACTTACTCTAGTGCAGTGATGGCAAACCTTTTAGAGACCGAGTGCCCAAACTGCAACCCAAAACCCACTTATGCATCATCGGGTGCCAGGTGGTGTGGCCCATTGGCTGGGTGTGGCCAATTGTGTGGGTGTGGCCCATTGGTGGGCGTGGCTGCAGTGGTAACAGCAGACTGGGTGGGACTAAAAAGTTCAATCAATCAATTCCAACTTTGCAAGATCTTTTTTTTCCCGCGAGAAGTTGAAATTGACTTGATTGATTGAACCTTTTTTTTTTTTGCACATAGCGGCGGAGGCCTAAAGCGAAAAGGTTTTATAAAACCCAGCTGAAGGCCTAGGACTGGGGCGGTGGCGCGAGTGCCCACAGAGAGGGCTCCGAGTGCCGCCTCTGGCACCCGTGCCATAGGTTCGCCACCACTGCTCTAGTGCATATATCACACTTTATAAAAAAAAACCAAAGATCACTAGGCACTATCATAAATATACAGACCCACATTTATTTTTTATTATCACCAGTCATATCTAATTATTTTTATTTCACTTTTTTCTTTAAAATATACTATCTATATTATAAAATATGATAAATGTTTCCTGTTCTTCAGGCCATGGACCATAATAAATATTAATGATTAGTATAAAATCTTTAAGATGCCTTCATGGATAAACAATTCATTATTGGAATACAGTACATCCTGTCATCAAAGAGAGAATTCCAAGGCTATTGGACTAAAGCAATTGTTCATTTTGGGGCATATCATTAACTTGAGGAATATGCTCTTAACATCAATGTAATTGCTTAGGAGAGGAGCAGAGAGGAGGGGAGCGGAGGGAAGTGGAGGATTATACAAAATGTAATTAGATAGCCCCATCTTTCATTTTTCCCATTCTTTCTTCTCTGGATGTATTCTGAACGTAAACATATTATTAATTTAAAAATTAACATCTTTACAAAGTTAACATTGATCATGCATCTTATGCAACCTGCAACTCAACAAGTATTTAAACTGTTTTTGAAGAAGGGAAATGAATTAAACCCATTTTGGAAAGAGGTGTTCCTTTGTGGACAGGAAGGGTCTGGGGCAGGTGGGCTACAATTACAACTGGAAAGAATAAAGGGCACAAGCTTTGCCTTACCTGCAGCACAGAGGGTCACTTGGTGGGAGCTCCTATAAATCCTGCTCAATCCTTGCCAAAGGAGCACCAAGTGATCTTTGCTGCTGCAGTTAAGATGTGGTAGCAAACTTATGCAAGGCTCCTCACAAGCTGCAAGCCTGAGATTTAAGGGTAAGTAAATATTATTATTATGGATTTGTCACACAGTCAATCAAATGTTCACACTGGATTTGGCATTTTTACCCACCTATTGAGTCCTTCCCAGGTGTATCTTGATGTTTGATGGTATTAAAGGTATCGTCACAAGATGTAAGCTGTTCTGAGTAAAACTGTCTTTTGCAAATGATTAATGGTAATT